CATCGGGTGCTTTGGTTTACTGTTTCCTTTTCCTTCTTATCAATTGCATTGCCCGCTACTTCTTGTCTTTAAACTATTTTCTTACTACTTTACTTACCTCCGAGTCAAGAGTTTTTTTAGCTATCGTATCATTCTGTACTTGCTCTCTCAATCATCCTTGGTTATATAGAACATTAAATCATATTCTCCTTGCTCACTCAATTGAAATAAGTAGCTTTCACTAATTCTCTCTCACATTTAATTCATTTTTATATCTAAATTTAAATCAGAATTTGAAATATAAATTATGTCTCTCATTAAAACAACAGATTTCATTTATCGGGGAAAAACAATTTTTTCATCCTAGATCCACAATCAGTTCCTGTTCAGGAACATTAATATTATGGTAATCATAAACATCAACTTAAGTTGGAGGTGGATGAATAAAATGTATTCTAAGTTTATAATAAAAATAGACATTCAAGAATCACAGACTACAAGGATTCCAAGACAATGTTTATTATATTTACATGTTCATCTTCAGTTCATGTTCAAGTTCATGATTGTCTCATAACACGAACGTTCTTGAGCAGGAAATCCTTGTAAATCCAGGATGTTGTTGAGATTTTTTTACTCAAGTTTTTATTTCAAATGATGATAGCCATTATAATCAGATCATTCAGTTAAGTGATTGTTATTTAAGAAATTTCTTCAATTATTCAAGGTGTGATAAAAGTTATGAATCTAATTAACACGCCTTTATACTAACTATTAGTCAAGTGCTCCATGGAACGCAGAAAAGCGTCCCGAGAGAAATAAGAATTACAATAAAAAGAGAAAGAAGTATGGAATATACTAGCGTTATGATGCTCTTAACGAATACACTATCAGTCCTCGACTTCATCCTCTTTATATTTTTTTTATCTCTTTCGCTTTCTTTCCTTTACTATAACCCTCTGTTAACCTATTCAATTTACTTCTGCATTATTCTCTTTTCCGTCACTCTCTGCTCTTTGTCAATCTCATGCATATTTTTTTCTAAAAAAAAGACGAACGGATCAATGTTGATGAGTGCAAATACATTGTCAATAAATCGCCCAAGTTTTAAATAGAGACTTGAAGGGAATCCTCCGCCTCTCAATTTTTTTTCTCTTCAATTCCCTTTGCACAACCCTCTGTATCTACACACACACATACGACCCCTTCAGACTTGGATATTTCCTCACTCCTTTCCTTTTAACTTTGTTAATATTGGCTACTAATGTTTAAGCATTGAAAAATAAAGAAGAAAGAAGAAGAGAAAGGAAAAAAGGTGTATAGGTGTAGGCAGTGTGTGTAGGTGATAGAGGGAAAGCAAAAGAAAGTGAGAGATGGAGAAGGTTGATGGTGTAAGGTCATATATAAACCTAACTAAATGGTTTCAGTTGGTCTGGTAACTGTCTTCAATGTATACTGTTCTAATATAGATCACATACACATGCTTCTAAATCAACCCTAAATCTATAAATGAGATGCACAGAGAATGAGGAAATGTGGGTGGTATTATATCATCACATATCATGTTGATTCTGTTGTTGGCCAATACTGAAGGAAATCAATTACAGATACACTTCCATTGTAGTTACTCAATATTGCTTCTATTGCTCTGCAAATTACTAATACGGCTTATTTTCAAATTGAATTTCAAATATTCATACGAAATTAGTTCATTTGAGAATTGGTACTGATACAGAAGGTGGTGTAGACTTCAAGATATTGTTAGATAAAATCAAAGTATCTTTCACTTCATTATCATGGTTTTTTTTTTCTCATTTTAACTAGAACGTAATGATCAAAGTATCCATAATGTAGAGAAGAAAAATGTGTAACTAAAAAGATAATACCTTTGTGTTAGACTTAGCACATGGCTTATTTTCCAAAACAACACCCACCACACTTCTTGCTTTAGTTATATTTAAATAGACAGTTTATGAAGCGTAAGTTTGAAATTGTTACACGGCTGATCGATCGATTCTGTGCTTGACAAGTTTTTGAGATGTACTCGTTAAGGTCAAAAGGGTTCTACTGAACTTGTCTATTATATAGTGCTCTCATATAAGAATGAGGGATACAAAGTAAATCGAGGTCGATCTTGGCGTAATTTCAATTTTAAAGAACAAACTCGCAGTATCAAGCCAGCTTCTACTAACCGAGCCAGTTCTCTTATCTAGCTCTCAAACCTTCAGTCTACTTCAACTTACTTTACGGGAGTTGTTGTTCGTCAACTCAGTGCTCAATCCACCCTTGAAGAATCTTGAAACGGTTCTCAGTTATACTCTACTGCATTTCTTCTTTTCTCTGATTTTTCTCGCTATTTCTCTACTCTTTACCGTTAGATTTTTCTTTCTTACTCCGCTTAAGTGTTTAGAACGTATAGAGTATAGCATTTACCTCTCTGTAGTAATAACACTACGACGAGCTCACTTTTATTTCAGATTTTACCGACAAATACCCGGAAAAATCATGCTATTTCCACCTTTCTCTCTAACTTTATTTATATTTAACACTTGAGTGCGCACAGGAAATTTCATTAAAAAAAAGCACCAAAAAAATATTTTAAAAATTCTTTTTTCACAAAAATTTTTATATTTTCCTTGGTGAGTTTAACAAAAAATATTAGATTTAATTTTGAAAAATAACAAATTAATGAACTATTTATTTTAATTTATTTTTTCTCTTCACGTACTCTATGTAAAAATTTTAATTAATATACCTCAATTAAAAGTTTCCTATGAAATTGTTTGAAATCTTAGTGTTAATATTAAACCTTTAGTTTGCAATATGACAAAATAACTAATCAAGTAGTCACAAAATGAAATAATTAATCTAGAGCTTACATCAATCGATTATCAATTATTGTCAAGTTTAGACTCATAATAACATCCGTACCCAAGGTGACATTTCATGGACGTACTACAAAGCTTCCACTTAACCTTTGCAAGCCTTTCAGTTCCATTTTCGCAATCCTCTCCAATGATTATGCATCACCTCTAGACCTAATCATCTGCAATATTCATCTATGAGTAAATTGAGACTGATAAAGAGAAAGAGGGAGGGACGAGAACATGGAAGCAAAAGGGAGAGAGGGAGAGAGTCGAGGCTAGAGCAACAAGGAAAATAAATTAATATTCCTGAATACTCTCTAATTGTGCCATAGTGTATCTAATTCTTGACTTTATAACTCAAGTAACTATTTATTGTTTTTACGTCAACTAATTTACTTACTTTTCACAACTAACTTTTTGGGTTACAACGTGAAAGTCCATATGTGTTTGTAATTAACTCTATAAATAAATATATATATATAAAAAAAAAAGACAATGAAGTAATGAATAAAGAGTGAATAAATACTTGAGTATTGTAGGCTTAAGGCTTAAGTAAATTGTAATATTTTTGTACTTCAATAATATAATTTTTTGTGGAAATAAAACTCGATAAAAATGAGAGATAAATTTTTTTGTTATATGTATTAAAATTGTATGATTGTGTATAATGTGAGAGTGTCAGCTTTTAGCGTTAACCAAATCAAATTATTCAGCAGCAAAAGTTATTATTAATCACAAATTATGCCATCATCATCGTTGCTTTTTCAATTCTGCTCGTCATTTGCAACGCTATGAATTATTCTCAATTTTTGTTTAAACATAGAAAAACACTTTTTATCATCAATTAGATGATTGTCATAAGATAAATTGGTGTGAAATGTAAAATCTTATTTTCAATGGCATCCGATGCATTTCTAAATGAAAATATGCATCAGGAATGGAATATATCATTTTGATCTCATCACTAAAATGGAATATCTTACACCGATTCATCTTAAAAATAATGTATATTTTGTGTATTATATTATATATTCATGATGTACAATATTATATACTTTCTAAAACTATTATTTCATAAACTTCGTCATTGATACATTTATATATAATCTATCTATATTTCGGCTCTCACTAAATATACGTAACTTTGTACGTAACTTACACTTAACTCATTTACATTTAACTTACACTCAACTTCCAATAATATTAGAATGAAATTTAAACAGATATGAAAGACACGATAATATTAAATAAAATATTCAAGTCTTAATTAAATATTCGAGATACAATAAAGTCAATAAGTTGTTTATATTCATCAATTATTTATTGAGAAAAGTAAAATCAAAGATTTTGACGTGTCTTTCGTTTTTATTTGATAACAATCATTTCTATTTTTTTTAACCATTGAGTGATTTCATAATTTTATTAATCAATTTTTCTCATATAAATAAATAAATATTTCAATATTAGCAGCTGTCATTTAATCAAGTTCACTAATATGATGAATTTTTAGAGAAAATGTTTTTAACAAAAATAATGATTAATTGATAGAAATAAATTTGTTGTGATGGATTAATATTTGTTAGCTTGACAATTTGACGCCGTATCATATTGGAATATACAAAGATAAATTTCGAGCTTAAATGATAATGAACTCATAATTAAATAATACTAAATTATCAATAAATAACAGAGAGAGAGAGAGAGAGAGAGAGAGAGGGAGAGCTTATAACTTTTGGCTTTTTTCTCGCACAAACGCATACTCATTGCTAAAAAAAAATGGTTTTCATTCACTTAATGATGTTTTCATATACACTCGCTCACACATAAACAAAACTACTATTAATGCACCAAGTTGTAATAATTACGATGAATGAAAAGTCCGTGTATGAGGTGTAATTTTGAGATAATTGGTAGTGGAAAAAGGCACGAAAGAATAAAAGTACGAACGTAACATAATATTTGGCTTGATAAAAATGGACAAAAATGTATAATATTGGGGGAAAGAAATTAATATTAACAGAACTTTGGCAAATTAATGATAAATCAAACAAAAAAGGTAGTATAACCCGGGGACGTAAACGATTGAATAACCGCCCCCGGGTCTCTCTTAGGTCGGGAAGCAGCAGTTTAGTGACTTGTCTTGTGTTGATGTTGCAGGTTCAAAAGCCTGGCACATGCGGCTGACCTTTGACCGGGTGCCAGGCGGCTGCAACCTTCACAGGTGCAAGCTGTGCGGCAAGGTCGTGACGCACATCAGGAACCACTACCACGTCCACTTCCCCGGCAGGTTTGAGTGTCCTCTTTGTCGTGCCACGTACACTCGTAGCGACAATCTACGTACGCACTTTAAATTTAAACACCCCGAATCAAGAAAGATCGATCTAAACGACTTTGTGGCGAGTTCGCTGGCACTATCCGCGACAAATAATGACACCATGAATACGCTATCATAAGACGAGCTCGCGTGGGTGCGCGGTGCGTGCGTACGCCCACGCGTGGAAGCCCAACAACCGCAACAGCCGTGGCGCGTGCCGGCTCTCATACGTGAAACTGAGAATTACCCTACTCTACTCACGCCTGGGTGGCCGGCTCCATTTTTATTTTTCAATCGTTTTTTTTCTGAACACCAAATCTTATAGGTTCTACGCTTAATGATTATATAGTAATCACTTTAATATGATGATTATCATAAATCATGAGACATTAAGATGATTTATTGAGGTTTAGGTACAGCGTGCAGTGAATTTTTATTACCAATATTCAATATTAATCGTCGTCAACATCATCATCATCATCATCAAGCATCACCATCATCAGTATCATTCAGTATGGTGGAGATGACTATATTTGAATAAACATTCGTCAACATGATGATTACCGACATTGAACTACAGTGAATGTGCGCTATCAGATCAACTCAATATATTAAGATGTATATAGATATTTAATCTATTGTCAGGAATAAGAGGAGTCGAGTATATAAAAAAAAAAAAAAATGAACCAATTAAAAAATTTTCCACAGCAGTCGTATTAACGAAAAAAAAAAAAATAATTACAAACTAAGTGTTTATCTCTCCTCAAAATATTATTAATTTTTATTTCGCTGGCTAAAATTTCATTAGTCTTTCTTACGTGAGTTATTAACTCGATAAGTAATTCAACTATTAATGTGATTAATTGTTGAATAATCAAGGCCTCGTAGAATCTGGATAAAAAAATTGATAGATAAAAAAGAATAAAAAACAAAAAAATGATGAGATTGTTTGAAAAAAGAGACAATGGAGTAATCAGATGCGTGGTGATAAGACGGATTATTTAATTAATTAAATTTATTATATATCTATAACAAATGGGAGCAAAAATGGTGCCAATTCCTCCCGTAGTTGCTGCTGAGCGGCGTCGGCAGGCTGGCAGCCGATATTAATTATTAACTATCAATTCATTGAATTATTAATTATTCTCATTAACTTTAAAATATTGTCAATTATTATTATCATTATTATTAATATTATATTAATTAGTTAATTGATTTATTATTTTGAGGAAAAAAAGTTAATACTAAATTCAATATTTACATATTAATAATTCAGTTAATGCGCAGGGTGAATCTTATTATTGTTGAAGTTTGAGGTTGGACTTTATATTATATTGTAATCACTAATTTTTACGGGAGGGAAGTCTATAGCAATATCAATATCATAATTACTACGTTTGAGCTCAAAATTAAACGCAAATAATATTTTTAATATTTTTTAAAACGCAACAGAATTGCAAATTTATATTTGCATGGTCAATTCACAACGAATTTTTTAAATACAAAACTATAAGTAAGATAATATAAATTCATCACTATATTACTTGTTAAATTGCACTTGGATTCTATGATTATGAAAAAATAATCAACACTAAACAGAATAATCAGTAAAGGGTATAAATGCAAAAATTACACGACATTCCAAGGCTTATTGATGAAATAACTGACAGTTAAGATTTATCTATAAATAATTTATTCTTATTAGAATATTTTCAATTTTTACAAATTATTTATTGCATTGTTACCATTGGTTTTAATTAATCAGTTATTGTTTTTAATTGATGATAAATTACATGAATTTTATATACTAATAATATAACTACTTACATGTTAGGTACATAGTATACATGTAGTGCAATAGACCAAATAACTGTTAAAGCTGTTGTATGAGGGTCAATTAAAACAGTATGATGTGGAAAGAATATTTTAATACAGAAACGAAAATTACTACATACTTAAAGAGCCAAACAAATTAATAATTGTGATTAATCTGATATTACCGTCGATCTATCTCTCCTCATATTAATATTTTGTTGGGATGGTTACTAATAAAAATGATTTTAAAAAATTTATTAAACCTGTGGGGAACGTTGTATGGTTATAGTTTAAATCAAGAGCTAAAAATACAATTATTATGAATAATTATTAATTATTATTATTTAATATAGATATGAATATAAATATATGAAGATGATATATAACCAGAATATTAATATATTACGCAGATTAATAGGAATATAAATAATATATTTAGATAATTTATTAAATTTTGTTTGTTTTATCGTTTTCTGATTTTATATTTACAGAATGTTATTTACTATTCACCTTGTGAGCAGTAGAAAAGTGAACCGTGCACTTTACATTATTATTATTATTTATTTAACACCAGAGTTTTGTTGAATATATCAATAAGATATATTTGTAGGCCTATCTTTTCCCCTGGTAAATTGTTAAATGAATTTTTAATTGATTCTTTCTCTCTGAACTTTTTGATTTCCTACAATAGTTATATTTATTTATTCATAACTTATTTATAAATAGATGAATTTATTCAGTTATTGTTTTAATATTTACAAATTTTAACGTTGATTTATTTATTGAATATTATTATGATGGTTTTTTTTAATTTCACTGCAATATTTGTAAACATTGTTTTATAATATCCTTGTGATTCTAATTCCCGAAAGTCACTCATGAATATAGTCTTTTGATCCTCAAAATAACCAATAGTAGATTCTGTATATGAGGATGCAATTGGAATTGCAATGCCTGAGGTCATGTTAGATATTCCAGATAGGGGGATATAAGTATAAACTACGTCAAAGCGTGATTATATATGTATATATAAATATACTTTGATATGAAGGGTTCAATGATGAGTAAAAAATATCAATTCATTTTGGGTTATTTGTTTTTTAATCTTAAATTTTATTTCAATTGTACATTTTAAAAAATCGATGTAATTTTTTTTATGACATTTTGTTTTACTTGACGTTATATGATACCTAGTTTTTTTCTTTTTGTCTTTCTAATAATGAAAAAAATTTCTTGAATCAATTTCTTATTTCAGATCGATAAAAATGGTATTAAATTAGAGTGAAAATATATATTGAGTTTGATAGCAAAAGCAAGAGAGAAAGAAAAAAGAATATAAAATACACCAGGGGATAAGAATGAGATAGATTTTTGAGGGATAATAATAATCGGCCTGCATAAAAATTATAAAAAAAAAATTTCAATTCATATATTAACAATAAAAATTTATTTATTATTTTATTATTTTTTTTCAACAAAGAGTAGATTTTTTGAAAATACTGATAGTTAGATGGCAGGCTGCCAGGCTGTTACTTTGAACAATTTCATTAATTTACTACATATAATACCTAACTATATTTGATTATTATAAGAAAAACCTACTTATACTTACTATTATCCACTATCACACTACCGAAAACTATTGCTTCTACTGCAGTCATAATGAAACTAATACACTTTGAATACTATTATTCTTACAATATAGAATAATTTATATATTTACAATCGAGTGTCGTGGAGTGGAACATTGTGATATAATAGATTGGTGCTAACACCTTATTGAAATTGAGATAAATTAAAGAAAAAGTTGATAAATTACAACAACAATAACAACAAAAGTCGTGCAATATTGCGATAGTATAGAGAATCAGGGAGGTTGTCATTCAATGGGAATGTTAGGTTTTCTTAGAACGTCAGTGTATTTATTTGAGTATAAAAGAGAAAAGTAACAACTAGCTAAGATTGTGAGTTACTATTATATACACTGTAATAGGAAATAAGTCGAATTATGTAATGAAGTTTGACTCAAGTTCATATGAAAGAATTTTTCATAAACAACAAGTGGATAAATTTAACTTGAAGAAAAGCTTGAATTGTGTGTGAAGCGAAAGAGAAAGTTTATAGCAGCAGCACAGAAAGTATAGTTAGTTGAGAAGTTAAATTGATAAGAGAAAAAAGAGTAATGAAATTGAACAGGAAAAGGAAGAGGAAAGATAGTGGGTGATATTAGTATGAAAGAATGGAAAAAAAACTTATGGCTGTGCAAGAGAACATTATGATTGTAATTAAAATGTAGGCGTAGGTGTTACCTAGAGCTTAATTTTACTGAAATATAGATTAAGAGCATGTTAAATTTTGTTTCAGCGTGTTAAAAACACGCCCCTACGAGTGACAACCATCTAATAGATCCCTCAAATCTCTTTGTACATTATTTAATCTAAATAAACAAGTAAAAAATAATATCAATATCTCTTTATCTAATAATATATACGAATTATTATACATATATATTTATAAATATATATATATATATATATATAAATTATGATATGTATATAAATCTCATATATGTATATGTATATATCTATCTTGGAATATTGTAGATATATATTATCAACAATCAATGAACGATATATATAGATATATACATTTTGTTATGTCCTTTTTTTCTGATATAAAAGGGAATTATGTAATTATAAATAATCGTATGGGATTATTCCTACGAGAATTAGTGTGTTCTATGCAAAATTTTTTAAAAGAAAATATGATCATTAGGATGATAAAAAAAGGAGAAAAATGAGAATTTTTATGAAATAAAATAAGTAAAATAATGCTGTTTATTTGTGAACAATAAGAACCAGGTGTGACGATCAGACTGACGTTGTGATTTTACATGGGACGTAGATAAATTCTCAATTGCGCTGCGTGTTTTACGTGAACCTTCAGATATGAGAATGAGAATGAGAATGAGAGAGATATACATATACATTTTATGTCCTTTCAATGTGTTATACTCATTCTTATTATTATTGTTATTGTTACTAAGATTATTAATATTCACTATTTAATTTAATTTTTTTTTTTTTTGGTTCTTTAAAACTATTTCTTTTAATCCTTTAACTTTTTTGAGATGAAATTTTATTCAATACTTGAATCATTTTTATTGAATCTATTAACAATTTTTTTATTTATATGTAAAATAATAATTCCTTTATTATTCTTAAAACTATAAACAAAACTCATAGCTATTACATCCTACCTGTGATTTATCATCTGTTAATTTTTCTTTCAGTTTTTTTTTCTTTAAAAAAAACCTCTTCCACCAATTAAACTGTGCCGATTAACAATTTTTTTATTCTTCCAAATTTTTTTTACATCTTAGTTTTCGTTTCTAAATTATTTACTAGACTTTTGAAATATTTCTTCAATGCTTGTCTCTACATTCAATGCATTTTTCTTTCATTTTCACAATGGAATAAAATAAATAAAAAATAATATATTTCGGTAATTCAGTTACTTACAAGACATAGGGTTACGTCAAAAATGATATGTATTTTTTACCATAAAAAATGCTAAGGATATAGAAAAAAATCTTGTTTAAAAAAAAAAAAAATTGACGTTAACCCTACTGCGGCACTTTATAGACAACTCAAACTACTATTTAAATTACTAAGGAAAAACTTAAAAGAAATATATTAATAGCAAAAAATACAAATCTATACATTTATGCTATAATTAAAGCGGTTATATATTAATTCAAAATATAATTAATATAACAAGTTAATTAAACAAAAAAAAAAATAATAAATAAGACGCATCTCGTTATAACTGATTGTGGAGGATGAATGTTTTTTAACCAATAACATTAAATCGAGGCTATGAAAATATTAATCTTTGATTTAATAAAATTTTCATAACTCAAATATATGTAAGGTAATTTTGGAGCTTTTAATTGTTAACCAAAACACATAACAAGTTAATAAAATAGCGATGAATATAAAAAAAAATTTCTACGCCTCGATTTATATTAATAAAAAAATGAAAATAATTGTATAATCTCTTGGCTCGAAACGTACAATAGGCACACAACTTTTTGACCATTCAAATTAAAGAAGTAATTAAAAATAGAGTTAAATAATTATAATAATACGGAGTACTACTATACTCAAGGGAAACTAAAGATTAAGAGGTTACAATAATTCAATTTTATTACGATGATAAAAGGAAAAAAATTATTCTTACAATCTTATTGTTACAGTTATTTATATCCTTAATTATTATTATTATTATTACGTAAAAAGGTTTTATGTTATATTACGTTATTATGATCAATTTTCAATTATAGTGTTAATAGTATGGATGATGATGAATATAAAAAAAAAACAAAAAACAAAAGAAGAAAAAGGATTTAATTCATGTGCATTTAATGTATTTCATACTAATTTTTGATTAAACATAATTGTGTGTTAATCGATCGTTTAGATTTATTTTATTTTTTTTCCAGATCATCTTTTACTATTAAACGACTTATCAATAAAAAAAACAGTGAAGTAATTTTCTACTGGCTGTATCGTACACGAATATACATATCTATATTTTTCTTTAGTATTTGTGTGTCTCAACACTCAATGAGTATCCAAGTAGCTTGGAACACTAGAGATAATCGTGTGCAACAAGTGGTAGTGGTTGCTGTGAGCTGTTCTCTTTCTCTTCCATATGCTCACTATCTTTACTCTTGTATTTATGTGTATTAGTCTTGAAACCATGCAAACGCAATATCGATAAATTTCTAATACACATTTAGTACTGATAAGACACATAATTGAAAAAAGAATAATGATTTTTGTGCTGATATAATTATTATACGCATATGCGTGCTCATGTTAATAAATAGGCATTCTAAGGTTTTTACACTTAAACTTGGATAAATATAATTTATCAGTCTACATTTATAAAATAATTTTTACCAACCCTCGTCAACTATTCGCAGCAACTACTTGACCTTAAAACAATACTTATTTTGTTCAGTATTATATACACAGATAATTTCTCATACAAACATATCCCCTAACTTTTTTTTTCTTTTATTCTTTCCTGTATATCCATCAGGTAGGATTTATCTCTACAATTTTTAAATTTTCGTTTATTCATTTTTCATCATTCTTTTTTCTTCCATTATATGCCAGAGACAAGGAGAGAAAAAGAGAGAGAAAAAAAATACGAGAGGGGAATGAGTGATAGAGAGAAAGAAGGGAGAGAAAGTGTATATGTGAAAAATTCGCAAATGAGTGAAATAATTCTTTACTACTAAACGGAAGCTCGATTGTTTAAAAGTGTATGAATGATCATTGATAGAATAATTAACACCAAAATTCAATATATATAATGTAGCTAAATAATTCAGAAAAAAAGTAATAATAATAAAACTAATAATGTTATAAATAAATAAATGAACATTTGAACGATGCATCGAGAGATCCACGATCGATCGTGTGCAGTCAATTCACGCGATCTCTTAATGAAAAGAGTGAAATAGTGAAAACAAAAAAAAAACATAAATAAAAGACAAAGAAAAGTAAACCGATAAGGACCAGACTGCCATGCTGACTGTGGTTTCTGTTGTTGCAGAGCTCAAAAATTGGCGGATATCACAGATATTTGAGAGACAGAATAACATGGACGAGAGGAGGCGTTGCTCGTTGTGCGGTAAGGTCGTAACAAACGTGCGAAATCATTATTATGTACATTTCCCAGGCAAATATGCTTGTCCACTGTGTCCTGCTGTCTATACACGCAGTGACACTCTGCTCACACATACACGCACAAAGCACGCCGCCCACGTGCAATAGCGCACGGGATACTATCGTCCTTATTACGGCGTGATCTAGCGAAGAGGATTGGCCCAATACAAGTGACACACTACTACTCACTTCTTTTATATTTAATATAAATTAGATGTTATATGGATCAACGCTAATAACGATGAATTCATTATCCAATCAACTTGATCAACGACGCTACTCATTTCTTTTAAATGTTATTCGATAATAATTAACTTGTAAATTTGAAGCAAAAGCTACATTTATGTAAATACGAATTACATAGTAATTATGTCAAAAGATTGTTAATATCAAAATAATTTACTTATTGAAATAGTATTAGGATCAATATTACACATCATTATTATGTCAATAGTATCAAAATTAAAGATAATTTAAAATTATTGATTTATTTATGATAACGACTTATTGGTTTCTATATTATACATAATTTCTCAAAAGATCTTTCTGAGAGCTCAATCATACGCTAAAGACTACTATTTGTCCAAAAATTTGAGAAAAATTACAAAAAAGAATATAGCGTTAGTGCCTTCGAAATTGTGTGGAAAAATTATGACAAAAATATATTTGTCCAGTGGGACATAATTGATATTGAATAATGTTTTTTAATGTGAAACCAAGTCGTTAATCAAAAACAAAAAAAATGATATTCGTATATAATACAAAGAGTTCACAATTGAATTACTATAAATATTTTATCGAGCTTCCGTATCAAATGGAGAAAATTAAACCAAATAAACAATATATTGTATCATAGTTTAGATGAGTAATTTATTGTATTTTATAACTTTCACAAGGAATTATTATAATAATGAGATAAAAATAATGAGCCAAGAAAAATATTTATAAATAACTTCACGAGCAATAATTGTTATTTATAGTAAAATAGTAATTCTGTTAAATTATTATTTATTTATATAATCATTTAGAATTTGGTTTTCAGATTTTTATTTAAAATAGAAAATTATATTATTGAAAGTCGTAATATATATGAAATAAAAATGGATAAAAAATGGTGGAAATATTTAATTTCATTATTCAAAAATTAATATTCATATCATTTCTATGAAATAATTTCATATTTAATATATAAATACATGCCTAAAATACACAAGAATATATTCAATCATTAATTCTATATTGAAAATGAGAAATATTATTAAAATCATTTAGGGAATTGTAGCCACTGAAGGCTAAAAAATATCATTTAATTATAAAATTAAATAATAATCCCTGTATGTCTTTGGTTTTTTCTTTTATTTTTTATGTATAATTAATATTGATTTAAAACTATTTTATTTTGTTTATCAACGAGAAATGAAAATGTCAGGAAACCCTTGAACATTAGACATATTTGATGATAGTAGAAATATTATTTTCGTGCTTCTATATATCCTTAATTAATGTCACCGTCCTGTTGACGTTCTTGAAATCCTTTTATTTATATTTGTTATCGAATGTCCGATGATGGCGATCATGATTGAGTGACAGATTGAGCGTTCCATTTATATTATGAGAGATGAGATGTAATGGAAAAAGAGAAAATACAAAAAAAATTGAATGAAAATTAAATACGTTGAATGAAATTTCTGTCATGTAGTATTTTACTACCATATTTTGACTATGCAATTCTGCTTCACAATTTTACATTGAAATTGCTGAAGAAGTTTAATCGATTACTGATTGAAAACTGGAAAGAATTGGAAATTGATTTTAAGTCATTTTGATTAATTACTCATATCCAATCATTTTTACATTTGTAAATCACAACATCAATATCTATATTTATTATTTTCAGGAAAAGATTATTTAATGTATATTTCAATTTTTCTTTTACGTCAGACACAAATAACTTGGGAATAAGATTAAAGTTAAAAATATACTCTAGCCCCAACATCATTTTTAGTAGCTGAAACTCAATAAACTTGAAAACAAATAGCTATCGAGCAACACATAATATTAATGATTATTCTTTAAAAAAAATTCATAGGCCAAGTAATTCCAATAAATTTTGATATGCAAATTTGAAATCACACATAATCAAGTAAAAAAAAAAAAACAATCAATTAAATATATCAGAGTAGAATCTTAAAAAATTTGTAAAATGCATGTTTTGCCAGTGATATAGCGTGAGTGTTGGAAAAAATAGTGTAACTTTAATGTCTTCAATTCACGAGTAAGCAGCTCGTGCGGTAGCGAATTTCAGACTTTGGGTTTACAGGTCCAATGTCAACTGTCCCACTTGGACTCCCATATCATGAGATGTTCGTCACGATACAGGATAATCCACCTTTATGGAGATGTCGAGCTTGTGGCAAACAGGTGACCAACCGTTGGCACCACGCCCATATTCACATAGCTCAACGTTCACTCTGCCCTTATTGTCCAGCAACTTACAGCAGAATCGACACTCTTCGGTCTCATGTGCGTACTAAACACAGAGAGATCCTCTTCGCCAAAGGCCCCTTGTAGAGGATGGCAATACTCGGGAATAGGCGACGAAGGCATCATAACATTGCTCGATCCACCAGTATATCACAATGAAGCTGTGCTCAATTGCTAACTATTGGATTTACGTAAGTGTGTGCAAGTATACCTTCGTTGCCTCTCTCCCGAGGCCCTGGACCCATCACCGATTTACGAGCAAAATGTCCATTAAACATGCTCAAACGGTGCTTGTGGATACTCACTTCTTTCCGGGGTTGATACAACTTTAGGAATAATTATAATAGTTAATTATATAAATAATATAAAATTCATTATCTATTTATAAATGATGGAGGACTCTAAAATAAATTCTAGCCCTTTATTATCCTTCGTTTTATCAAATTTTAGATCTCTCTTTTTCTCTCGATTTACGTCTCAAGGTTTTATTATGTGATAATATTTATTAATAGCAAATATTTAAATAAAAAAAGATAAACATTTCAATCATCGAATTCCGAAGGATAATAATAATAACAAAATAACAATAATGATAAATGAATAAAGAAATTTTATTTAATATATTATAAAGAGATTTCCATGCACATCTATTGGTGTCAAGTCTTTTTGATGTAAATTAAAACCAAGTAATTGACAACTAGTATAAATATATATATATATTGTAAATAGCCAATGAGTTATCGTCACATAATGTTTACAAAAGTATTATATTCCATGACCATTAGGAACATTGAACAATTTTTCACGATTCCATTGAATTACCTCTTCGCCAATAATTTATTTTTAAAAATATTTATATATAAAATGTCGAACAAAAGTGATTAACTATTAATTACTAAAAAATCTTATAAAAAAGCGATCATTTTCAAATTAACCAGTGATTATAACTTATAAGTGGTCCCAAGTGAAAAAGACATTTTCATCATCAGACCAAAAGTATCTATTCTTCATGTTACAATGAACTTTGTTGTTTAATCATTTGCAATATAAAACATTGAATCTCACTCTTATCTGGTGATTCGATCAAATCATCTAGTATTATTATTATTATTATAAAATATTATTATCAAAATCGATGATAATAATTATGATATAATATTGAGAAGCTTAAGAGCTTCGCTTATGTGGAGTACGAATTTAAACAAATAATATAAATATTATCATTAAAAAACATTTAAATGAGTAATATTAAGTAAATACTCAATAAAAATAAGCAACTAAATAAATAGTTGCTGAAATAATTTCAATAACCAATGATCATTAAACATGTATGTAATCTTTCCTTTTGTCTCATAGAAATCAATGGTAAATTACAGTAATTCCCATCTAATTATAATCAAGCAAAATAAAATACATAAAGTCATTCAATTAATACTTAACATACATGTGTTGATATCACATCCAACGACATCATTTTTTTTGCAATAGTAAAGAAAACAATTAAATAATAAAAAAAAAATAAAAAAAAAAACAAAACGTCGTTCCTGTAAATTATCATGCATATCAACTGTTTGTTGAAAGTCCAAGTTATAACATCGAAATGTTATTATTACTTCCGAATTGTTAGATTAATAAATAATAAAAAAAATTTTAAAGATTACAAATATGACAAAAAATGGAAAATACTTGACAAATGTGTGAAAACTTATAAAATATTCTCCTAAATTTCTTGATCACATGTCTTTATTATATAAAAAGAAAATTTTTAATAAAATATTTTCACTGGAGTCAATATACAAGAATCAAAATCAATATGATATATAAATGTCAAAAAATAATAGACAAAAAACATGGAATAAAAATAAAGCTCAAATATGTCAAAGTTGAATTGACTGGTCAAAGGTCAATAGCTTGATTAGGTGATTCTTGTACACTTGATGTGTAATTACAAATAATCAATATTCAACATGTCAGTTTCATATGTCTCTTAAACGTACTTATTAAGTGGTGCTGACTTAAATAATAAATGTATAAAAACGAGTCTTTGAAAAATATTAAAATACATAATTTAGGTAAAATAAATAAATTTTAAATGTCAAGAGGAACAGATAAAAATATAATTCTGACTGTTATATCTATTTGACTCGGAAAATCGATGCAGTTTTTTCCCTTTTTGTACATTAACTAATTAGTTCTTACTTTTTCATGCATCATAACGACATCGGTTTTTCGAATCGACTATAAAAAATAATAATAAATAAAAATACTTTTTCAATATCATTTTTTCCTTCACATAAGACAAAAATGTAGAAAGCAAAATAATAAATAAGTAAGTAAAAAAGATGAGTTTATGTAACGACGGATTTAAACTTAAAATTTACATATACTTATTTATATGCAATGTATTTTTGTGAACAGTATTTTTAATTGCTGCCAGTGTTGTACAGTAATACGATAATATGATAAATGTATTATTATGTACGTATAATGTATATAGATATATATTTAATTAAAGTCAAATATGGATTTGTGTAAATACTTGTATAAAACAATCAATCACCCTATAATTATTTCAATCAATTTTTACCCTGAAAATAAAATTTTTTTTGAATTCCTCTAAAATAAATCTTAAAACAAATACCTCTTTATTTCAATACCTACATATTTCAAGATTCAAATATACCGCGTTGGACTTGCGCAGAACAATGGATAAAATAATCATAATCATAAAAATATTCAACAACATTTGTATATGTTGGTGAAGGCTAAGGTCCAGGTTAACAAGCGTGTCAGAGTGATGTAATTGCGAGAAATAACGTTGGATTTTTTAATCAAAATTTTATTGAATGAATATACAGTTATTTTAACTATTTTTAGCCTTTTAAGTACTAAAACTCATTACTGATCATATAACAGTACCGGCTTCATGCATGGTATCTTACAGCAAGCTCCTCTATATTCAACAAAATACGATCTACTGTGTGATTTGCTTGTATCAGGAAAACAGTCTCTTAAGCAAATTCTCCCACTAGAATTTTTATTTGCACACATGCGCATTTTATTATAATTCAGTAAAAATCTTCTCAGTGCGTTCGTCAGTAAGCTCATATCTTACATATTTTTCTTATCTAAACACATGAACCGTAGTAAAGTATTACAAATAAAAAAAGTTCGAAATCTGTTATTCAAGTAATCATATTTTCAGATATACGTTAAAATTTACTATAAATTTTTCACAGTTTATTATAATAAATTAAACAAAGTATATAAAATTACATACGTGTAAAAAATTATCAACATGACTTTGGAAGCTATCAAGTATGATAAAGGCAAGCTAGAAATTTTAGATCAAACTCTTCTTCCATCAATTACAAGGTATGTTACAGTTTCTGGAGTAAAAGATGGTTGGAAGGTTATTAATCAAATGCAGGTACATATTTATATAATATATTGTCGATAATTAATAAATATATTGTAATTTATAATAATCAATTTGGTAAGGTTCGAGGAGCTCCAGCTATTGCTATGGTTGGTTGTCTCAGTCTTGCTGTAGAACTCGAAAATGAAACATATTCAGATAAAGGTATCATCAGACAAGAGGTTGAAGGAAAAATGAATTATTTAATATCCGCAAGGCCTACGGCTGTCAATATAAAAAAAGCTGCTGAGAAACTTATAAAGCATGCCTATAGGCTATATGAAGATGACAGCGTGTCAATCTCTGAAATGATTGAGGAGTAAGTGTTTTTAAGCTTTTGAATAGTTGTCAATAAATAATATAAAAAAAAGAATAAGTAATAATATTAAACTAAAACGATGTTCATTTTCCAGCTTACTAAAACTCATTCATGGTATGTTTAAAAAAGATATTGATGATAATAAAAAAATTGGTGACTTTGGTGCTGCTGAAATTTTGAAGTATATACCGGAAAATAATTCAGTTCGTATATTGACACATTGTAATACTGGATCTTTAGCTACTACAGGTTATGGAACTGCTCTAGGTGTTATTAGATCTCTTCATAATAAAAATAGATTAGGTAATTGTTCATTCAATTTATAGGTATAAAGTTCATTGACATATTCAAAGTTTTATGATGAATGAAACTTAATATAATTATGATTATGACAGGAATGGCATATTGTACAGAAACAAGACCTTACAACCAGGGTGCTCGCCTGACTGCTTATGAATTAGTATATGAAAATATCCCCGGGACTTTAATATGTGATGACATGGTAGCAGCATTGATGAAATCTCGGGAAATCACAGCCGTTGTAGTGGGTGCAGATAGAGTTGCTGCTAATGGAGATACTGCTAACAAAATTGGCACATATCAGGTAAAATGGCAAATAGAATTACCAGATATTTTAATGTACATATATACTGAATCGTGACAAATATTTTACAGATAGCAATTATTGCAAAATATCATCAAGTACCATTTTATGTTGCTGCACCAAGAACTTCAATTGATTTCGATATTATCAGTGGTGATTTTATTCCTATTGAAGAGAGACCCGAACGTGAAATGACACATCTCAATGATCAGAGGATAGTTGCAACCGGAATTCAATGTTGGAATCCAGCGTTTGATGTCACTCCAGCTAATTTAATAACAGGAATAATCACTGAACTCGGTGTTATCGAACCAGGGGCTTTGCATCTTGTGCATGCTAATTAAGGCTTTTTATTATAATGTTTAATGATTGAGTATTATTGACAGCTAATAGATTTAGAAAAATATTCCTTTTTTTACTGATTGTTATGCAGTATATTTGCTCGTAAAATTTTTTTATTCATATAAAAATATGAAAAATGTATCCAACAGATAAAAAAGAGAAATTGATTTATATTTTATTAAAATACAACTCTGTATATAAAATATATTTTTGTAAAAACTTTACAAGAGTATAATATATTGAAACATATTGGAATGAATTTTCAATGATGGAATAATCGAATGTTAGTATGTGCTAAAGTAATATTATGCTCATTACAAGCTTGAATTACAACACTGTCATTAGTTGAGCCTTCCGGGCTTCCGATGAATCGAACTCCACTCTAAAAAAACAACAGAAAGAATTTAAAAAATACAAAAAATGATTTAATATCGAACATTTATTATTAACACGAATTAACTAAGCAACGTTTAAGTATACATACCAGACGAGCTCTGTCAATATTATCTCTGAATGGGAAAAATGCATCACTACTTAAAGCAACATTATCAAGCTTTTTAATCCATTCAGTTTTTTCTTGTTGACTCAGTTTTTCAGGAACAACTTGGAACATAGAAGCCCAAGTTTTTTCATCCATATCTTTTCCGACCGATCCATTAACATAATTATCAATAGCGTTGGAAATTTCTGCACGTTTAACTTCTTTTTTAAATATCATCTGCATTACTTTCGGATGTTGACGAAGCCACCAATTATCAGCTTTATCTCCAGCTAATCTAGTACAATGAATTCTCGATTGTTGTCCAGCTCCAATACCGATGACTTGACCATCTTTAGCATAACAAACAGAATTACTTTGAGTGTATTTAACAGCAATTGTTGCTACAATTAAATCTCTTATTGCCTCATCTGACAAATTGTTATTAGCCGTAACAATATTTGAAAATGTAGATTTATCAATGACTGCATTATTTCGCATTTGTTCTAGAGTTAGTCCATAAAGTACTCTGCGTTCTAATTGTGCAGGTTCATAATCAGGATCAATCTGTAAAATACAATAGCCGCCATTTTTTTTCTTTTTTAAAATTTCCAAAGCTGCAGGTTCATAACCAGGAGCAATGATACCATCAGAAACTTCTCGTGAAATAATTTTAGCAGTCACGACATCACAAACATCAGAAAGTCCAATAAAATCACCAAAACTGGACATTCTATCAGCACCCCGGGCTCTTGCATAGGCAGTTGCTAATGGAGTTAACTGATCGATTAAATCATCAACTTGGCATAATTTTGCTTGAATTGCGTTTAATGGTACACCTACTGCTGCACCAGCTGGACTAACGTGTTTAAATGACGTAGCAGCTGGTAATCCAAGAGCAACTTTAAGTTCTTTTACAAGTTGATAAGCATTAAGAGCATCACAGAGATTAATAAATCCCGGAGAGCCATTAACAACTGTCAAAGGCAACTTTTCTAAAGTAGAAAAAATTTGAGCTGGTTTCTGGTGTGGATTCATACCATATCGTAAACTCATCTGCGATACTCCGGCACTGTACTGTTTACGGAAGTAATTAGAAATTTCATCATCGTATTGAGCAGTATGTGTGAAAGCTTTCAGTGCAAGAGCTTGCCTGTAACATTTTATTAAAATTATTTAAAATAAAAATAATACTGTGAATATAGATACAATTAACCAAAATAAGTAATAAAAAGAAATTAATGATTCATGTACCTAGTAGATAGTGTTGTATCTTGATTATTACTGTTTTCCAACTCTTTGATAACCTTTTCATAATCATTTGGGTCACATATTACAGTAACTTTGATATGATTTTTAGCTGCCGCTCTCAAAAGAGTTACACCACCAATATCGATATTTTCTACAGCATCAGCAATCGTCACTCCAGGCTTATTTATTGTATTTACGAATGGATACAAGTTACAAACCACAATATAAATGTTTTCATAACTTTGTTTATGCAAATCTGATTGATCACTATCCGTTAATCTTGAAAGAATGCCTAGAAAAATAATCAATATGTTAATAGATAATAAGAAATAAATAGAAATATTATTTAACCCTTACCTGCATGAACAGCTGGATGTAAAGTTTTAACTCTACCACCTAACATCTCAGGAGCTCCAGTGATATCAGAAACATCTTTAACCTGAAGACCAGCATCTCGCAGAGATTTTGCAGTACCACCAGAAGCAACCAAAGTTAATCCAAACTCATTTAATTTTTTTGCAAACGGCAATAAATTTGTTTTATCAGATACACTAAGTAAAGCTGTAATAGTTGAACAGTTATCAATTCCATGTTTAATACAATAAAAATGGTTTAAAAGAAAAAATGAACACCACGTGCATTATTAATTAAAGTTCTTACCTAATCTTTTTGTACAAGTACTACTCATTTTCATCAAATTTTTTTTTAATAAATGAAAAAAATTAATATTTCATAAAAATAAAAGAGTTGAAAAAATAATAAACAATTATTAACTGTAAAACAAAAATTGGAATAAAGAATTCCAACAATATTCTCACATGAACGTAAGTGTACGTCTGAACTTTTCTCTTTGAATCACAGTTTATATGTAAAATCAACCTCTTGACTATAGAGGTTAGACAGAAAACAAAAATCTCAATAGGTGGCTTAACCTCTATGCTCTTAGCTTAATATCACATTAAAGACAGTTTAAAATTTTATCAACATTTATTAGTTATTTATCGTTTAATCGCTTGGAGGGTTCCGATTAATATTATTTTGTAATCGAAAATTTCACAACAATTTTTAGCGTCATTGCAAATTTTTATCTACATAGTATGTTTTTATGAAACATGTGGACGGATATATAATAAAAAATTATGAACAAGAATTGTAATAAAATATACAAGTGTCTTTATGAATCATTAATTGATAGTTATTGATTGTTACTTTCTGAGTAACAATTATATTCATTTAAATTATGATAATAATAAAATTGGCTTTATTAGTTTTATTGTTATAAACAATTATTGAAAATTGAGCACGCTTTTTAACATCAGCAGTAGAGAGTTTTCTTTTTAACGGTAGATAAAGGCCATTCGAGATGTCGACATTGAGGTGGCAATCTTTATCAAAAGTTGAAATGCTAATACATAAAAATCGTTAAACTTCTAAACCATATTCTTTTTTTCTAATTCTTAGAGATTTATGGTTTTTCTGATTTTAACGGTTCATTACATTATGAGGATGATAGAAAAATACAATAAAAGGTAATTTTTTTATATAAATTATATTCATTATTATAGAAATAGCTAAACAAGCAAGTCTCAAAAAACCTGAGACTGAATAAAAAAACATTTCTGAAAATATAGTCAAAAAATTCAATAAAGCCACATATATTGGTAATCTTTTCGTTGCTCCTTTGCTATTTAAAGCGTCCTGTAATTTGACTGTAAAATTGCATTTGCAAAAGGCTAGAGTATAAAGATATATAATGTTTTCATTGGTTTTGTGTAAAATTGTAGACAGGATACTTTGGAGCAAAGTGTCCTCGAATACCCATGACATGATCAGACTCTCCAGGATCTCTTAGGCTTCTTACAGACCATCCATACTCTTCATACGAGGGTGGAGCTAGAATTTTTAAAATTCCATAAATTAATCTATTTATTTTCTAATAATATCAATACATTTACAGTTAGCAGGTTTTAGAAACAATCTGAAATATATTTATTATTGGATATAAAATACTCACGTAAGTTAGGGTACATATTAGAATTAGTTTGTATTTGAGCTGGAGAATCAGAGTTATAGTCTGGTGGAGCTAAAGGTGCTGTAGGGGGTGCAGAAGGATATCCAGTTCCAGGGGTAAAGGGGGGATATCCACTCGGATACCCACCATAAGTTGGATCAGCAGAGTTGGCGAAATCACCACCTGCATTCTCCACTTTAGTTGTCGGTGGCAGTATAGAAGTTTGATAGGATGCTAATGGAACCGTGCCAATGAATACCAAAGTGTTACCTCTCAAATTTCTATGATACCTATAAGAGAGTTATTACTTGTTAAGAATCGCACTATTGATCAGTTTACAAATTGATGAGATTTACGTCAATTAAGTAAATTTGTCTACTTTTGTCATTAATTTCTTCTCATTTTTTCAATACTATAAATATTTGGAATAAAAATAGCCATCATACCATCCAGCTACGCAAGCTTCAACTTTAAAATTATATTCCAGGTCAATAATTCCACAATTTGTGAGATTGGACGGTGGAAGAGGAGGAATCTCAAGCTTCTGTTCATAATCAGCACTTCCATTAGCCTCGACAGGTCCTTTACTTACTTCAGCGACGATTTGTTTCTCAATTCGAGTTTCAGCTCGTGGACTTCGTGCTTTAAATGTTATGACTTTACGAAGAATACATTTAATAGTGTCTACAACAATTCCTGATTGATTATCAACATTTACACGAATAGACATCATTTGACCTGGAACATATCCTTTTACGGGAAGAATCACATTGACTTTTAAGGGCGGAGATCCACAACATAAACAGCAAAATGTCTTGCTCATTTCTAAATGAACGGGTTCCTAAAAAAAATTGTAAGTATTATTACAAAAATACTTTTCATTCAATCACAAAAATGAACAAAATCAACAATTACTGTAGCTCTAGCTTCTTTATTGAGGTCAAAGTTCGAGACAACGGTGAAAGCTATTTTGACTTCATGATCGAACTTCCAAGGACGATCGATGATTGCTTTAACAGTGTACCGAACGTGTCCATAATCATGTTCAAAGCTACTTGGTAAATTGGGCGGAAGTGTACAGCTAAATGGGTAAGAATGTTCACCTGCAGGTAATTCCATTTCTTCTCCTAAAATAATTATCACCTACAGCTTATTATAAATTCGTTACTAATACACTGAATTTGTTTCATCTATAAAATTGACATTATCTCTAATTTTCATAATTGAAAATAAATGAATTTAATTAAAATCTTCAATAAACTTTTCAATTAAATTTATAATTTTAACCTGAAGGCGATCCCAAAAGGTAATATTGGATATTGAAATATTCTTCATGTCCAGTAACTGTTTGAGACTCATTTTCATATCGTCCTTCTTGATTTAATTGTTGTCTATCAGTTGCCCAACACGTATTTGCTTCTCCTTTAATCTTTATATTAACTCCTGTAGAGAAAATTAGTAAAATTAATTATTTATTAGTTGTAGAATTAAACTCTTACTTGAAGAATAAAAAATAATTAAGCAATAAAGTGAGAGTAATGTGAGGGTGGAGACAAGCTATTCCACACATGTCTGAGCAGCTATATTTACACATTTTGCTAAGCTTTGCTCTTATAGTGGATACAAGAAAAAATTTTCAAGGTAAATTACTTAAATTACAAATAGTGGACATGAAATAACGTAGTATCATTTATAACTTGTCATCTATATTAAACATTGCTTCAATAAAAAATTACAACAAAAATATAAAGGTATTATGCCAAATTTGAAGGCCTAAAAATACTCTTTTTTGATAAACACATAGTTTGTTATATTTTTAATCTTTATAAACATTAGAAAGATTTATAGTGTAGCAAAATAAATATTTATTAAAAAATAACCCGATTTAAGCCTTGACTACTTATTTTAATGTTTGAATGCCATCGAGGATACAATATTTTCCTAAAGAATATTGATCTTGAAATACTTCTGATCTCATATCGTCAACTTGTCATTTATGTCTAATGTAAAGTGACATTTAATCAACACCGGTATAAATTATATCTTGCATAATTTTGCAGTTCATATTTAGCTATATTTTGATAACAGCTTCAATATAAAAAATAGAAAACTGTGATAAAAGTAATTCACTTACCACGTAATTTTTTAGGAGAATCCAATGCGAGGATTACACGTCCAGTAACAGTTTGTCCTGGATAATAAGTGCTCCAAGGATTATCAAAGATGATACGGAAATCCTTGAGTCCCATGTTTTCAGATTGAGAAGTGATCTACTCAGCACTGCAAAGCTAAATGCAGAAACGAGTTTAAAATCATTGACTTCAAATAAAACACTTCTCGTATGTAATATTTTTTAGGTTTAGTTCCCTGGCTAACTTGAGCATTTAAGAAATTCAAACAAAATACAAACTAAATCTAGACTATGCATCAATACATTGATGTCTTTTAATTTCTATAGTATTTTTATTGTTGTATATAGATACATTTCATGTTCTATAAGCAGCGGTGAACAATTCACTAATCCCCACTAGCGATACAAGTAACATGCGCATGTTCCACACGAACTGTTTTGCTTAGCAATGACGTCATTAATAATAATGACGTAGAAAACGTCACCATTTAAAAAGTCACATTTGGATCACTTTCATTAATAACTCGTTAGCTTATAAATAAATTTCTAATAGGTATTATAAACTTTCAAGCGCCAAAAAAAATATTTGGAGCATAAATGCATGAATTTTCAATGAAGATGTCTTGCGGCATCAAGTGACCCCAATAAAAAATTAAAAACTATGACTTGAAAATAAAAATTGAATAGAAAGAGAAATATTAAATTAACTTTTCAAAGTAAACGTGGGCAGAATTTTTGTCATTGAATATATTGATTTTTTAATTAAGTGATTTTAGATACTATTTAAGCTGATATTATCAAAACGTACTAAAAGCCTTATAATCATTTCATGTGACTATAGTTACCGTGCCGAATAAATAATAATAAAAATTTTATCATCCATACTATCATATTTATAAAATCATCGTTTTTTTACTATAAACTCTCATTTACAAATTTATTGTAACTTTCTATCTGCTGGCATGTAAAATATATTTAAACTTTTTCTGTATGTTTTTCCAGATTAAGACATAATGGTTATCATAGTCCCACGGTCGACATCTTCATAAATCATTTTACAGTGACAGTGACGACTGCATGTAAGTTTCTATTTGATAGTAGAAAAGTCCCTTTGCGCAAGCTTCGTCGAAGTGGCTATTGATCGAAGTTTCTTGGTGGTGTTCCTGGTCGTGGAAGACTCAGTTGCATGCTGTAAATAACGCCCCTGTCTGTTCCGTGGAAAAGATAAATTTTTTTGTGGATAAAAAGGTGGTTTTTATTATAATTGCGGCCAAAATGGTCGAAGGTGTTTTTGAAGACGGTCCTCTGATAAGGCCTGTTGAATCGGGTGAGTATTATTATATGATAAATTTCAAATGAACCTAATGAACCAGCTGGTTTTGCATATCGTATATGACGCATCGATCTTGTACATTTGAATTATTGAGAAGAATCTCGGAGATTCTTCTTAGATCATTTTTATCCGTGCTCTATTGATTAAAATCAATTGACCTTTCACACTATTAACAGAAATCACATAGCGAATCCTTAATAATATTATGAAAAGTAATTGACAATGATCTATATAGTAGTAAGTATGATTCATGATATCATGTCGCGCAAATGTAATTGGATACAACAGATTGCATGCTTTATTTATTTACTTTGGAGTTATTTCCTCTTACTCATACTTAGGGAGGTTTTAATTATCAAATATGATGCATATTAGCTTGAAAAAGAATAAAATAATTTTAAAGTAAATACAATGAATAATTTCAGTATCAACAAATACTCTTGTTGGGCTATGCATCGCAGCTGCAGCCTTAATATGCGCCGCCGCAATGACCTGGTGGTTGTGTCGTCGACGTCGAGAGCATATGAAACTAAGCATGGACAAATCCTTAGCATTTAGACCACCTCATCGTAAACCAACAGCAGTAAAAAGTCCTGGAAGTACAACTCATTACCTGAGGAAAAGTCCAAGTCCTACCGGTCCTGCTAAAAGTCCACCTGGATCTGGTGGACAGACTCCAAGTCCAACTGGTTCTCAACCATCTCAGATAAATAATCCTCAACCACGATCACCTTCAGAAAAGGGCACACCTACTCAACCTGGTGAAATCACTTTGACCATTGAAAATGAAAAAGACAAAGCTGAACTTGAAACAAGTGAGAAAGCTGAACGAGGATTAGTCAACGGTGAAATTAATAAGAATGGATTAGGACAGTTGGTATTTAAATTACGCTACTTGGCAGATCAAAATGCTCTTGTTGTTACTGTTGTCAAGTGCAAAGGATTACCTGCTCGTGGACATCAAAATTCTACCAGTGATCCTTATGTCAAACTTCAGCTTCTTCCCGATAAAGAAGATAGAGTGAAAACAAGAGTATTGAGGAATACTCGAGATCCTGTTTATGATGAAGATTTCACCTTTTTCGGAATCTCTAAAAGCCAGTTACAGGTATAATTGTTATTTTTAGCAACAATGATCTTCATTCGGGTTTTCTATAGATATTATGCTTTATCTTCAAATTAAAAATCATATATCTACAAGCAAAAAAAAATTTTCATTATCGATATAATTCTTGCAGAAAATCAGTCTCCACTTCGTGGTATTGAGCTTCGATAGGTATTCTCGTGATGCTATAATTGGTGAAGTTGTTTACGCTCTATCATCGATTCCTGGTTTAGAAAATGCAGATAATCAACAGATATCACTGTGTCGAGAAATCTGTCCTCGGAGTCTAAAAGTATTAAATAATAATTATTCCATTCAAATCTGTTTTATATTACAGAAAAATATGTAATTGCACGAATGACATATTTTCAGATTCAATCCCAAGGGAGAGGAGAGTTATTAGTATCTCTGTGCTGGCAACCAGCAACCAATCGACTGACAGTTGTTGTGTTAAAAGCAAGAAATTTACCAAAAATGGATGTAACTGGTTTAGCTGATCCTTATGTTAAAATTTATTTACTCTACAATTCACAACGTATTGCTAAGAAGAAAACACATGTCAAGAAGCGCACATTGAGCCCTGTTTTCAATGAATCTTTTGTCTTTGAAATACCTAATGGCACAGATGGGCTAGCTAATATTAGTTTGGAGTTTATGTTGTTGGATTGGGACCGGGTTACAAAGAACGAGGTAACATGAAATATTATATAACCGTTGTCTTTAGACTATATCTATTTAAATACCATCTATATGTTAATGCATATTCATGTCTATACTTTAATTCCCTTTTATATGCATTAATATATACATGAATAAACTTGTAAAGTACATATCTGACTTCAAGAATCATTGAGCTCATGTGTAATGTATACCTTCAAGTATATAAAGGATAGTATCGCGATAAGGTTCAGTGGAAATACTGAGATAAAGTTGAAACTAACATCAGCATGAAGTTTGGTGACACAAATAAGACGAAAATAAAATAGATTTATAACTTTTCCAATTCCTTACATGACTTTTATTTCTTAGAATTTTTTTTAGGTTTTTCAATTAAAACTCACATTAAGATAAATTTACTAAAACTGATAGAGCAAGCTTACTATTAATTAAATTAATATCTTATTTCACTAGATTATGATTGGTTTATTGTTTAAGTCAATTAATAAATGTATGAAAAATTTCAGGTGATTGGACGGTTGGAACTTGGAGGATCCAAATGTCAAGGATCAGCACTGAATCACTGGAACGAAGTTTGCAGTTCACCACGCCGACAAATCGCTGATTGGCATAAGCTGAGAGAGTAACTGAATCGTTTAAAGTTTGATTTCTAATTCCCTACTTCCTCAGGATCCTACTTGTATTCATCGTACCAGAGATTTTCGGTATTATAATCTGCAGTGATGTATGCAGCAAGGCGAAAAATACTCTGAGATGTCAGTTTTATAAGCAAAAAAAAAAATAATAATTCGAACTATTACATGATCCGAAGAAGAAAAAGAGTGGTATCCTGATGAAACTCTCTTCTTTCATCAGTACCTTCTTTACATCCTTGTTTATGCGGCCTCATAGTTGGCTACTCCTATTGTCCTTAATTTTAAAGTCGAGTATTCGAAGAAGAGAGTGATATAAAAATATGGAAGTGTCATATATAGCGAATAATACGAATAATGTGAAGACATAAAATAGACTCGACATGTGACGAGTTCTATTTTTTGTTATGGTTGCGCCGCGATTTTCTTTTGGCAGTTGATTTGTCATTGATCTTCAACGCGACAATTCTATATGTATATTTAATGTGTGCTAAAATCTTGCTCGTTATTTTTTTAAATACTTAATTATTATGTTAAAAAAACCTCGATAATGATTAATGATAATGGATTAGAGGATTATCGGTCTACTTTCTCATTGTAAATATGTAATTGATACTGAGGAATGGGATAAGCTGTATTGCTAGAATATTTCAGTACCATTCAATCATATTTATTAAAAAAAAAAAAAATGGAAAATATAAATTATATTATGCGTACACAAGGTTTGTTTATTTTTTCATTTTTGCACGATCTTATAAAAGCGACGTAAATTTTTTTAAATAATTCCGATGGAAATTCAATAAGTAAAAATATCACTTTAAGATGCAACGATATTAATCTTAGTGGAAATAATTATAATAACACGAAACTTTATAGTCAAGTCATACAATAGCAGCATAATCGAAGCTTCATTTATACGTAAGTCAATACAGCGATGTAACTGAAATGTTTTGAAAGTATTACATTCTTACAGAAATCTAGGTATTTTTTATTTACATTTCTGAATAATTTTTTTTTTTTTTTTTAAATTTTTACTATAGTTAAAAACAAAAAAATTCACTTGATTGCAATATAATGTAACAAAATTATTGCTAAATTAATTGGAAAACTCTGTAAAACTCTAAAGTATTAATATCATTAAAAAAATAATTATTAATAAATTAATAAAATCAAGTATTTGTCGTATATATCAAACCGCTGATAAAAATGAATGCGTATATATTTCGATTGAAAGTAATTTGGAAGTTTAAATAAAAGATGAACAATCGATATTTATGGTTTGTATCGAATGAAAGAAAATAAAAATTATCATTAGACTCAATTATAATAGGTTGCAGTCAACAATATCTGAATATTTTATTGCTGTAAATTACATAAATTATTAAGATGAATTATAAATTAAATAGTTTGTGGAATGTAAACTAAGCTTATTTTGTTTTTTTATTTTCTACTATATGAAAACTGTTTAATATGAGATACAATTATCATAATTATTAAATACAATCTGACTCATAATAAATAATTTAACATGATTGTTGAATAAAAATTAGATAAAATAAATTAAAAAAACATCAGATACAAATCGTTTATGAATTTAACAAATATAAAACAACTTGCCGTAACATTTAACAGAGTGTAGTCTATATGCAATTGAATTGTCCACAAAAAATACATGTCAATAAGTTGATATGAACATTCCAGATAATTCAATATGCTAATAGACTGTGTTTATTATTAAGATTAATACCAAAGAATTGTTTTAGTACTTAATATTTATTTCGATTTATTAAAATTTTTATTAAATTTTTTAAGTTTGACAATATTTACAAAAAATAGTTGTATTATAAAATTTAATTATCTATGAGTGTCTTTATAGAAATGAGATATTGGATTAGTTTAGATTTTAATAAATTAAGTTGTAGTAAAAATATTTGTAAACGCCACGCAATATGTGAACAGATTTTAAGGCTGTGCGGTGAATAAAATGTTTAAAAAACCTATTAAATTTGGAGTTATTTATTACATTATATACATTAACAATAAGTATAAAAATACTCCCAAATTGTTTTCATATGATTCAATGAGAACAATTTTTAGCCATGTTAATGTTTTTTTTAGGAATGCAACAATTGTATTCCATAAGCGTCAATATATCAATAACTAGTAACACTAATGGTAATTAACATTTACATTTAACATATAAGAATAATATCAAGAAAATTATTTCTACATCAAGAATATCAACCGTTACCTGCGGAAAAAGGGCTATAATAAATCTGTTTTAATAATATCAGATAAAAAAAACTTTCAAAAAGTATCAAAAACAATGGTTATATAAAATTAATATGGCTTTTATAAAATAACTTTCAATTTTTCGTTGCAATGTTTGTATCACTTTACACCAAGTGCGCTTAATTTAATTTTCATTTTGTTCAATGTCATCATTAATTTTTATAAAATATAAAACTTTGGTGAATGACTAATTTTGAAGGGTTTAACTTCTACTCAGAAAAATATTTAATTATTCATTTGAACTTTTTCCCATCAAGATGAACAACAAATGCGAAAATATACATATTTTTCATCAGACTTAGTTAAAGTATTCTTCAAACATCCAAACTTAAATTAATAAAAAGATGTATAAAAGAAGAGGTAGAACAAGATTGTCAATTTGATTGGTTTGTGCTTCGACTAAAGATACTCCAATTACTGCTAGAGTACTTTTCAGGAGTGTAAACCACCCATTTGACACAAAGCCTGATTAATAAAATTATTTTAAGAATAATTGGTCAGTCGTAAAAATACATTTTATTACAGCAAACTCTTCATTAAATTACATCAATTCAATGAGACAATTATTATTTTCATAGATAGTAATTTAATGATGACTTGACTGCAATAAAATTATTATCTAATATAAATAAACTTACCTAATATAGCTAATCCATAAATAACCACTAATTGACTTAAAATACAGCCAATTGTTCCCTCTATTGACTTGTTAGTTCCTGACCATTTATGCTTACCCCAAAGTGTGCCAACAATACTGGCTGTTGCATCTCCTATGCCTAAAGATAAAACTCCACTTAAAAGGGGTAATAATTCAATATTACTTGTTGGCATCCAAAGGGGAAATGATAAACCAGCATGAAGGTACAAAGGTGTAAGAGCTATTGAACAGTCCTTATCATCAACAAATACGGAGAATCCATACTCCAAAGCTGAATTCAATGGTGGGACTTTGATTAATCTCATTAACTGGAAATGAAATCAAAATAATAAGCAAACTTTGGCAATAATTTTCAAGAGTTTTAGAATGAAATACGATCATGTTTTGGACACTTCACAAGTTTAAATGATACGGAACCTGAAATTAATTGCCATAATACCTCCAGAAAGATGAATAAGGCCAATACGATTCCACTAGCAAGATAAAGTAGTGTTGGCTCCAATATCAAGCCTGGTAAATAGACTAAAGCTGCCAAAAAGTGCAACGCTTTCCTATCCACTGTGGTGGCATTGGAGTCAGAAAATATTTTATACGTGATGAAAGTAACTGTGATTAATGAACAAATTGCCCAATAAATAATTAAAAATACCTACAAAAGTAAAATAAAAAAGCATCTAAACTTTCTATTTTTACTTGATTATTCGTTGGTATGTATTATTGTATCATAGGATTTTTAGTAATTTGATGCTCACCCTTTTGATGTTTCCAAATGCAAAAAATATCATCCAAAGTAAGGGACTTTGGTCTAATAAAACATGGAGTAATGGAATAACACCAAATGTTAATAATCCAAAAGTAATCAAATAAAAGTAATTAGTTGTTCTTACTTTAGGATAAAATAAGCATAAAAAACATACTAATCCTACAAAAAGAATTCCAACCTGAAAGAAATATTTTAGTAGGGTAAAACTTATGTAAAATTATGCAAACCTACATATTTGAGTTCAAAGTGGCTATTTTGCTTCATTTTTTATGTTCATAACAACATGAATTTTTCAACTTCTTAAAATTTTTATAAAAAATTTATAATATTTAAAGCTGATAAAAATTGAATCAACAATATTTATGTAAATCTGCATGAAAATTTAAGGAATTTCTCACCTGCAAAATTGTTGTTGCAATATCATCATCATGCAGAGGTGGTAAGTGATATCTTAAAGGTAAATTTGTTCCGCATGACAATAGGAATAAAATAATTCCATGCATTACTGTAATACTTTCACCTAATGTGAAGCATCCAGGGAGGTGTGACATGATTTGTAAAACGCCCCATGTACTTAAACTTCCAACTCCCAAACCCCAAATCACACTCACGAATAATCCTATACTTCGTTAAAACATTTTAGTAATTGTTAATCATGTATCATGCAAAAAATATTTATTCTCTCATAACGCTATACCTTTGTTCACCCAAAGAAGATATAACATTGATGATATACTTGCTGGTAAAAAATATAATACTTGAAAGTCTCTACTAGCAGTTGTATTACGAGAAAGTTGTATAAATAGACAAAAACAACTTATTATCAAACTGATTCCCGTAACTCCAACAAGTAAGCATATTTCTGAATAACTGTGGTCCTCTCTGAGTAAAGTAGTGATAGCACAAAGACCAATTAATAATCCTAGCCATAATCCTGTGCTTGCTTGTCTCCTGGAATAACATAACAAATATTTTTTATCAGATTGTTTTATATGCTGAAAATTTATGAAAATTTAAATGATTATTTAGATACTTGATACAATTTATAATCGAAAAGTTCGGCTCTTAAAATGTGCCTCATCACCGGCAGTTCATTATACGCATTTTTATTACTTCGACCTTTGCTACAGAAAGGTGAAAAACTGATTTAGTAAAAAATTAAGCTACACATTAATAATTTAAACTTTTTTTATCAATAAAAATATACCAAAACAATGACAGATTTTGGAATTTACAAAATTTTTACGATACATGGGTATTTATTGAATTATATAAGTCCATTATAAATTTTATTAGAAATAAACCGTTAATCAATAAAAATAGATGTATTTGTGTACCAATAATTAAATATTTGAGGTTAAGTTAGTGGTTTCTTATTAATATTGTTGACAATAATTACATTTACTGACCTCGGTATTATTCCATTTCTTTCAAAATTCTTAAATATTTTTTTTTCAATATTGTACGTCGTAATTAACTCCATTTTTCGTCACAACTGGAGGAAAAATTCTTACAATGACTGACATCCACTACTTTTTTTTTCTCTCTCACGCAGATAGTCTGTCTTCTTCCTAGTTTGGGTTAGTTTTCCTTCATCAATGTCGTATGCAGTGAATTTGTGTAGAAAAATAAAATGAGATATACCGTACACACCCAACAATCTCATGTTGCATGATGTTGCAATTACAAAAACACGAATGAATAATTACGCATGATAAATTTGTGTTTAATCATATTGTATTTCATTGATGATGAAGCATCAAAACCAATCATTTATACGTATTCTCTTTATATACCACTACATTATACATAAGTATTGTTTACATAATGAAAATACTATCATAGTTTTAATAGAAATTTTCCGTACAATAATTCTTTACGTTCAACAGCATAAATGTTTATTTTGTACCTGTTATTAAAATGGTAAGGAATGATATAGGGGACTTTTTTATATATCCTTGATAATAAGTATGTATAAAAATTATAGATGTAACCTAAAATCTGTTATATCTGAGTAACTTTGTATTCTCCTCGTAGTTGTTACAATAATACCATTAGCTTCGTGATACATTTTAAATATTTTAAGCCGTAATTTTTAATCGTGACTAGATAAAATCTAAGCACTATGAGTCTTGATAAAGTTGATTAGACCATTGGTTGAACCATCATGACACGTTATTTTATCCTTATTGTTTAACTCTGGTTCAATTGCTTTCGCTAATTGTTTTCCGAGTTCAACACTAAAAAAAGTATTAAATATATTATTTACTAATAACAATGCTATGATTCAATATTAATTTTCCTACAAAAGAATTCTTACCCCCATTGATCAAAGGAGTTGATGTCCCAAATGATACCCTGAACAAATATTTTGTGTTCGTACATGGCTAAAAAATAATATTTATATTAATGAAGTATCAATAAGGTTGATATTTTTTTTGGAGTTTCATTAGAAGAGAGTGCTTACCAATTAAAGCACCCAAGATGAAAGGAGTAATTTTTTTTGCAAGAATACTGTTAGTAGGACGATTTCCTTCAAACATTTTATGAGGTAATAGAAGATTCACTTGGTCTGCACTAAGTCCAGCTTTTTGCAGTTCTTCTTTAGCTTGACTTTCATTTTTGCCTTTCATGAGAGCTTCGGTTTGTGCAAGGAAATTTGCTAATAATATTTTGTGATGTAAATCGCCTTGAACTTTGTTGTGAGATAAAACAGGTGCAATAAAATCTGCTGGTATCAATCTAGTGCCTTGATGAATTAACTGGTAAAATGCATGTTGACCATTAGTACCGGGTTCTCCCCAAACTATTGGTCCAGTTGAGTAATTTACGGTTGATCCTGATCGTGTAACATATTTTCCATTACTTTCCATATCTCCCTGTTGGAAATATGCAGCAAATCTATGAAGGTACTGATCATAAGGTAATAATGCATGAGTTTCTGCTTTGAAAAAGTTGTGATACCATACGCCCAGCAATGCAAGAATCACTGGAGCCTAGTAAATTAGGAAACAAAGTTATTATTATATTAAAAACTAAATCACTAATTAATTTAATAAAATTAACAGTTACATTTTTTTCTAAAGGAGCAGAACGGAAATGTTGATCCATGAAAAATGCACCACTTAATAATTTTTCAAAATTATCAAAACCGATTGACAATGAAATTGACAAGCCAATAGCTGACCACAAGGAATAGCGTCCTCCAACCCAATCCCAAAACCCGAACATATTTTTTTCGTCGATTCCAAACTCCTTCACTTTCTGATTATTGGTTGATAGAGCTACGAAATGTGATGCTACAGCAGCATCCTACAATTTTTTTCATTAATTCATTGTCAAATAGATAAGATATATTAAATCATTTTATTAAATAAATGACTTTACGTTTTTCAAATGCTCTAAAAGCCATAATTTTGCAGAGGTAGCATTTGTAATAGTCTCCTGAGTTGTAAAGGTTTTTGAAGCAATAATAAAGAGCACTGTCTCTGGATTTAATTTTTTTAAAGTTTCAGCAATATGAGTACCATCAATATTACTGACAAAATGCACTCTGGGGCCAATGTGATAAGGTTTTAGAGCTTCTGTTACCATAAGAGGACCCTGAAGTAAATTTTATTGATTATTTATGTGACTTCATGTATTACCCTTTTTTTAATGATATTTCATCATACATTACCAAGTCTGAACCACCGATTCCAATATTGACTACGTCTTCAATTGGTTTACCGGTAAATCCTTTCCATTCTTTATTAATCACCTAAGTAAATCAAATGAGTAATAGTTTGAATTGAATAACAATTATTGTAAGTTATGTTAAATGCTTCCATATTGCAGTAATAACTTACTTGATTAGTAAATTCCTTCATATGCTGTAATACAGCATTTACATCCGGCATAACGTCTTTTCCATCAACAAGGATTGGTGTGTTTTTTCTGTTACGAAGAGCAGTATGCAATACCGCACGATTTTCAGTAAAGTTGATTTTCTCTCCAGCGAACATTGCATCACGCATTTTTTCAATTTGGCGATCTTTAGCCTGAAAATTAATTAATTAAAATTTATCGAAATTTATTAATAAACTAAAATTAAATAGAATTTAATTACCAAGTTGATTAAAAAGCCCATAACTTTTTCGTCAATTCTATTTTTTGAGTAATCCAATAAAATATTTCCATCTTCTGGAGTTTCAAGTGTCAAACTGAATAAATAAAAAAAGATATTTAACCAAAATAGACATAATGTAAAAATGACAATATGTACAACCAAGTTTTAATTGTTAAAAAAAAAATTTAAGCTATTAACGTCAAGTGGATTTTTAGAGGTCATGAAGGTCAAAGACATGGAAAAATCCAAATACAGACCTAAATTTTTCAAATCGTTGTGGATCTTGTTGAAATAGATCAGCAATTTTAATTTTAGATCCAGTACTTGAAAAGTATTCTTCTAATTGTTTCCAGCTTGCTTCTTCAGTTAGTTTGACTTTTTTGTCCATTTTGATTTTTTTTTTGTTTTTCCAAAATTTTATGACACTCTCTTAAATTCAAAATTCGTGAAATACGAATGGTTTTGGAGTCAGTCACGTATTCTACTGTCCTCAGTTGCCCTTCAGAAGTTCTAACGGCGCCGAATCATTCATAAGAAATTATTTTCGATAGATTCTATTAGATGGCATCACTCTTCTATTCCTCCATATTATCGATAACATACCAACACTCGATTCCATTGAACTTTGATTTCTATTTTATCGTTCGCCGAGTACTTTTAAAATTACTAGAACAGCCATTTTTTTGAGAGGTTAGAAGAAACTCATTCTCCGGTTGAAGTGTTCAGGATTGTATTCACGTAAAATGTTGTTTATCTAGTTGTAGTTTTTAATATAAATTGATTAAAGTTATAGAATGTTGTTTATTAAAGTAAATCCACGTTTATGTGGAAAATATTTGTCAGTGACAAAATATTACTGTCGTTTTGAAAGTATTGCTGCAACAACTACGAATGAAGTAGCTCAAATCCCGGCATATCCTCCTATCGAAGATGTTACATTTGCGGCAAAATGGCAAAGAAATATAGCAAAATACCATGAAGCGGTAAAAAATATTAAAACTATAGAAGAAAAAACGATTAAAATAAACATGCCTCGTTACTGGGGATTTAAATGTATGATGATCCATGAGGACAAAGTTGTTTACAATAACTTACCTATGATACAATATATTACTCGAACACATGTCTCTGAAGAATTAAAGCTACCGTCTTATTATGACACTTTACTTTCTGAAGAAACATTAAATAGCTTAGTACAAGAAATAAAACCATCATTTGAAGATGCAGTGGCATTCGAAATGTCAAGTCGCATGTAGGTATTTTTTGGCTCATTGGAGCCAACGTCTATTGGACGTTTCAAATGGTCATGGATTATAAAAATTTAGTTATTGATAATGTTCATAATAATTCATGATATTTTTTTAGGCGTCATCAAGAGTATTCGCAAAATCATTTAGAAACCAATGGTGTTTTGGATGATTTAATTGGTGATGCAGTATCGAAACAAGTTAACAGAATCATGCTAAATTATTTAGGCTTACAATATCCACATTTATTAAGTGCACAAATCGATTATGACCCTAGAATAGAAGCTTCTTGGTTTGCAGGAGGAATTGACAAATCGCACCATACAATAAGAGCACTTAAACGTTTTAAGGATCCTCAAATACTTGAATTACCAATCGATAGAATTTTTGCGTACATAGGAAATCCAACGTTACAGTTGCGACATGAATTGCCATTAAAAGAAATTTTGCCTGTAACAGATTGTGAAAATCCAAGTCTCGAAGTTCCGGTATGTAAAATTGATCCGAGAAATTATGGTCACTATTTTGACCGCCGGCATCTAACAGCGATCCCAGGATTTTGGCCTGGAGATCGAGCTGAATTTGGTTTGATGTCTTATCACAAATGTGGATACATGCATAGAAGATTCCAATGTGGTGATTTAACGCGAGATGATCAGATAGACCTACTCAAAACTCAAGCAGTAAAAAGTAGTTGGAGCTGGCTCACATCTCAAGCTTTCAATAATGGTAAGCTAATTTTTTTATTTTATTTTAGACATAAATTTTCGAAATAATTTGGCAATATTTTATAATAATTTTTCTAATTTTTTTATAGGATTTACTACCTTCAATGAAATCACTTACCCACTAGTCAACCAACAAATCATCACCAATGGGCAAATGTGGTCCTTTGCTGTTTATCAATTGAATACAAACAAAGTATGGGGACGCAATTGCGACGACAATCCTAAGAGAAATATTTGTTGGATTACTGAGCCTATTCAGTTGTTTGAAAAAATAGAAAACAATAAACTGGTTGGAGTGAATGACGACGTTCTCAAGCATTTAATTAAATTTTACGTTAATGTTCCTGAAGAAAGAGTTGGTGTAAATTTAAAACCTTATGTAGGTGAAACAGAACAGCGGATAGCTCATATTCAAGAAGATGAGAGAAGAGTTTGGCTTGAAGATACTTATAAACGATTAGTGTCTCATAGACCTCGTCACAAGTAAGAATAACTAATTTAAATCACTGATATTTCAAAATTATAAATTTGTTTTTAAGGCTATTTAAATGGATTTATTATATGAAGTATCTACAATATTTCATGGCATATTTTCGTTTTAGATTAATGCCAGAAATGTATCACTGGGAATGGATTTATAAATTCATGTTCAAAACAAGACCTTTGGATAAAAAACGTACTCATTGGGATTATGGTTTAAATCCATTTAGAAGAAAGTTGAATGAACATTTACCTCGTTATATACCAAAAGCTCTTCGACCAGGTAAAGTTATAAGATCGCAAAGGGACAAGTACGCGAAGACTTATTATCCAGAATAAAATTTAATGCATTAATAATGTGTTAATGTTTAATAACTGTGAATAATATTCATTATGTAAGCTAATTTTATATATTTTGTAAGACTATTGTTGATAAATAATAGTCTGAATAGTACGTCTTTGAAGATTTGTTTTGATTATTCCTCGTTCTGGATCTTCAATAGCTACATCTACAGGATCATCGCTCCTATAAAAAGTATAATTTTTTAAGTTAAAAATTTAACGTTATTGGTAAAATGCAAGTAATTTTTTCTATATGATTACTGAATAATGATAACAGATACGTACGCATTGTATAGTATTATTACAACTGTATGTTCTGGGGTGACGAACGCGACAGATTTTACATCCGGTACTTGAGTGAGATCTACCCTAACTGATCCTCGTGGGAGAAATTTACTAAAGTGAGCCATTGCATAATACATTGGTTGTTTGAAAAATTCATCCAGCTGTGGATGCACAATAATTTGTGAATCTACAAAATTATTTATATAAGTTGGTCCACCTTTTCTGTTTAGTGCCAGATTCCAATCCACCCATCCGGTTACCCAATGATTCAAATCCTATGGATTACATTTATCAAGTAATTTCAAAAAATTTATTTAATTTATTATTTATTTTGAACAGATGCTCTATTTGATTTATTCATAAAATTTTTTTAGCAAGATTTAAATAAAGCTTTATAAAATTTACAGTACCTCAATAATATTCAAGATATATTTTTCCGCTCGACGCCAAGAACCTAAAATAATTCCATGAGGCTCCCAAGGGAGACTTCCTACACAGGCCTCTGTCATGAGAATAAATTTATCGGGAAATAAAGCATGAGTTCGATCGTATGCATCAATTGAAAAAAGTTGATCCGCGTACCAATGAATGCCAATGCCAGCGATATATTTATCGATTCTACTATTTCGTCTATACATTTCTTCAATAAACCAAGGTAAGCTAAATCTTTGATCATCTAGCCCTAAAATTATAGTTTCATTAGAAGTTGAATTAGCTAAAGCAGGACCGAAATTTTTAATGACCCAATCCGTAACAGAATCGGGTGTCCAACCCATGTCATTTATTTCGGAAAATGGATCAAATACATTTGTTGGTTCGTTGCCTGTTGAAACTGCCCATATAGGCAGTTGATGATTTTTATAGCTTTCCAAAAATTTAACTATATAATCAGCATATGTTTGATAATACTGTTCTCTCAATAAACCTAAAAATCCAGAATAATTATTATTCGTTTTCATCCATGGTGGTGCAGTCCAAGAAGCTGCCATGAATTTTAATTCTGGATTAATTTCAAGGGCTTTTTTCATGTACGGTATTCTATAATCAATATCTTCTCGTGCTAATGAAAAGTTTTTTAATGTCACGTCTCCTGGATAGTCATCCAAAGTGTAGGCGCGTAAGGAAAAATCTGTTCCACCAATTGGAACACGTCCTAAGTTGTAGTTACTGCCATTCTTCGAAAAATATGCTCTGAAATATTATTTATTTCATTTTATTTCAGTTCATTATTCATTCATGATTTCTTTATCAATTTCATTCAAAATATCAACTAATATTATTGACATCTTTAATATATTCTGATAAACTGTCATTATTGAATTAATTAAAATACATAATGCTTAAAATGAGCACAGCTGATGACAAAGCCAAGGTTCTTATAACAAAGAGTGTTAAGTTATTCAAAATACTGACCGTAATAATTGCTCTTGTGTTTTTTCGCTCAATTGTTTGATATTAAATCCAGCAGAATCTGTAAATGCACCTCCAAATCCTATGATACTTTGGTATTTTTCAGTAGTGTTAATATACAATTTAGTAGGGTAGTTAGTTTCATTGTCGAAAATTAATGTTTGTTCGTAAAATCTCAAACCACTTTGACTGGACGAATGAATTTTATATCGCCCTTTTGGCGGTACGTAGACATCAATTGCATCACAATATACAGCATTGCACACACAAACAATGCTGTCTGATCCATAATTACGTGGTAAACAATTTTTAGCAACAACTGAGTAGTAAAAAAAAAGTAATTATTACATAGTATAATAAACAAAATTAATTGAGACATTCATACGTACTGTGAGTGATGATATTGCAAAAAATAATAACTATTATAAATTTCATAGTAAAGTTGTTAGATTTATGAGAGTATGTCTGTCCAGGTAATAAGCAATAAAGTGTTTGAACTTTTCAATTCATAAAACTTAATTTATACTATTCAACACTTACAAGAATGTATTTTATCATTTCTACACATCTAATTATTCATATATGTCCTTCAATAGATAAATACATATTTACATTGGTAAAAAGTTTGTCTAAAGGTGAAAAGTGTTATAATATATATAATGACTGGAGTGAAGTTTAAAATAGCAGCATGAGTTATACCATTGATGACAGTGCCTCATTAATGGCACGAACATAAAGATCCTGAACTTATTCACAGCAGGTTTTATCAAATCGATAGAGGAGAATCTACTGAGTAGATGTATAATGAGTGTAAATAGTCTAGTATATCCACTCACAGTGTATGTACACAGGTCGGAGGCCCCACTTATTTTGAATGGTGGTATGGTCCATGATCATTTGCTTTAATTAAAACTCATTTATATTCAAGTGAGGCCATGCGTGTGCGTATGTTCTGTGGTTACAGATTTCTTCAAACATAGCGTGGATGAAATAAAATGAGTTGGAATTAAGCTGGCAAAAGTAATGAAATTTATTTAAAATTACAGTTTAGGTTATTGTATAAGTGTAACATAGCCACGTATGCGATAGAAAACTAATTAATATCTTAATTGTATAATTATGAAGTTTAATAATAGGATGTAATTAATAAATTCAAGCTAAAGTATAATCAAGTAAATCACTTTGATCCAAGCTACGATTAAATGTGTTATATTGTCAACGATATTTCACAGCTATCACGAAAGAGAGAACTAATGCAGTCGGTAGCATTTAATCTCCTTCCTTTTCTCTTTCCCACATTTCAACTCCACGAATGTCCTTACACCTTTGATTAATCCAGTTTTCCTACCCTTCAGCTGATCTTGCGCGGTTGAAACTATTCGTCATTGAGATCTTTCTTCACTTTTTTCCAATTTTTAACCATCTTTCTTCTCTTCTTTCATTTTTTCTATTGTATAACGACATCATCGATCGCGATAATAGTTCTCTATTGCTCCCAATTTTTCTACCGCTCTTTTAGAACAAAAAATGCAGTATTTATTTTGCTCGAGCGACTGGTACGTGAGTGCAGTTCTTGATCGCTCCTGTTTCAACCAGTCTCGAAAATTCGTTCTGATTTTACCATTGATTTATAAAGCAGATAAATTATTTAATTGGTCGATATTTTTTATTTTTAAAAAATTATCAATTAACCTTTTCAATAACGAATTGCCTCTTTCAGCTAATTTCCAGTCTGAATAGGTCATGTATATGATTTGTTTACTACTGCTTATAAATAATAGATTGAATGGAACGAGCATCGATATTGATGTTGATATTCCCCTGTCGAGGATCAACAATAGTAACATTTTTTTTTCTATCGCTTCTTAAACAAGAACATACAATGAATTATTAATGTTTCCATGATTTTTAAAATTAATTAATATTGAATTGATACTTACTTATTATAAAGTATAATTACAGTTTCATTGTTAGGTGTTGACACAGCTACTGATTTAATTTCATTTTTACCGTTAATTTCAATCCTTTTAGATCCTCTAGGAATAAATTTACTAAAATGAGCGAGTGCGTAGTGCATAGGTTGTTTGTAAAACTCGTCAGATTCAGGAACGGTAATTATTGGGGAATTCACGTAGTTATCAATCCAATTAGGACCTCCATATTTATTGAGTGCCAAGTTCCAATCGATCCAGCCAATTATCCAGTGATTTAAATTCTACAACATAGTTTTCATTTTTTATTACAACCGAGTAAATTCACAAATCAATTCAAAAACTACGTCTCTAAAATATATTCGTATACTGAAAAGTTTATTAAGGAATTTATTAGAATTCGTACTTCAATTATACTGATTATATATTTTTCTGCATCAACCCACGATCCTAAATCGACGACTTTATCTGGAGAATTTATTCCTTGGAATCCTGTACAAGCTTCAGACATGATCAGAAGTTTATCTGGATACGTTGCATGAATTCTATCGAGCTCTGAGTGACCGAGATACTCTTCATCATACCAATGTGACGTGAGACCAGAAATAAACTTGTTAATAGAGTTGTTGTATCTAAACATTGCGTCATAATACCAAATAAGCTCCAACTTAGGATGATCTCCAGTAGTAATAATTGTTTCATTGGATATCGACCGGGCTATAGAAGGTGCGAGGTTGTTTATAACCCAATTTACTACCTTGTAAGGTACCCATAACATACAATTCTGTTTGCGTGCTACAGCGGTGGTACAAATGATTGGATTGTTCCCAGTGGAGAGTGCCCAAATAGGCAATCCCTGAAGTTTATATTCGGTCAAGAATTTCACTAAATACTCAGCGTACGCCTGATAATATTCTTCTCTTAATTGATTATACCATCCACCGAAATCAACAAATGTTTTCATCCACGGTGGTGCTGTCCATGATGCTGCCATGAATTTTAATTCAGGATTCATTTCCAGGGCCTTTTTCATAAAGGATATTTTATATTCATAATCTTCTTGTGTTAATGAGAAATTTTTCAAAGAAACATCACCAGGAATATCATCCAAGCTGTAGGGTCTTGTTGAAAAGTCACTACCACCAATAGGAAGACGGCATAAATTATATTTATTACCCTCCTTATCAAATAAAGACCTGAATGAAAATTTATATGATTACATAGCACTTAGATAACTGATAATTTGTGATTGACAGTAATTATAATTGAGTTCAAGTGGTAACTACTTACTTCAGTAAATTTAACTGTGTTGCTTGACTCAATAATTTAATATTAAGTCCTGCTGAGTCAGTAAATGAACTTCCAAAACCGGAAATAGTCTGATATGTTTTCGTAGGATTCAAATACAATTTAATATCTCCTTTTGTGTCATTGTTGAAACTTCCGGTCTTAGAATCCAGTCTATAATTATCTCGGTTTGATACATAGCTTCGAAATGTTCCCTTTTCAGGCACCAGCACCGTAGCAAAATCACAATACGTCGAATTGCAGACACAGACAAAGCTATCCTTATTAAATTTACGTTGAACACATCTTTGAGCATTACCTGTAATCGAAATTGATTTGAATTATTTATGTTAATTGATTTACTCTTATTCTATTTAATCGTACTTTTAATTTTCAATCATTCAACTTACTCAATGTAAATATGCAAATCAAAAACAATAATCGACTCATTTTACTGATACTTTAATTAGCAATTTGATGTTTCATGCGTACAGAAGATTCCACTTTCATTAATATAAAAATATATTGAGGTTTTTATCGTCTTATATCGTGTAGAAATAAAAATGAAATACTGATTACAGCGTATCGATCAAAGGAGAGTGATAGTAAGCTATAATTAAATATGTTCAGTCTACTGGTTATTACTATAATCATGTATGTAAAGGCTATCACGTGAGTGATGTTATTCTTCACAGACAAATACTACTTTGCTTCCAAGATAAATCTTAAGAAAAAAATTTATCTTTCATTTGATTAGAAATAAATTCTTGTAAGATAATAACGTTCGAGTATGATATACTAGATATTTAATTAAATAACCCTACATTGAAGTGAATTGGATACCACCACTAGTGCTGATACTGCTACAGCTACTACGATGATTGTATCAAGCTAAGGCGATTTCAGATGAGTAATTGATTTAGTTTGATAAGTGCAAATGCATTAATTTGTATTAGTTTGCACAAAACTGGTTCGTTGGCAATTAAGAAACACTAATTAATTGAAAAAGTTAGCTCTATAGCTATCACTAAATATTAAATTTAATTCAATAAAAGTATATATAATCTATTTATTATAAATTAGATTTACTCATCAAATATAGATAACATAATCAAAGTGTATACAAATATTTGTGACAAGTTGCAATAAGTAAATTTATTTCTTTCATAAAAATATTCTTTTCAGTGTGTGAAAGTTAGTATAAGGTTTCTGTTTGAAAATTCAAATAAATAGAACCTTGAAAATGGAAATTTTCTCATTTCGCTATTTTATATAAATGCAATGTGCATATAAAAATGCATTAGAATTGGAAGACTGAATGTTTAGCATATATAAAAGAAGCAAATTAAGTGGTAAATATATGATAAATGTTTAAGAAAAGAATATAAAATCTAGAGTCATGGTAAAAGTACATCACCAGGAATGTTGCATTGCGGTACAATTCAGTAGGTGGTGTCGTGCTAGGCGGAAGAGAGAGGAAGAACGGATAGGATATACACAGGGTGAACCGAGGATTGTGGGTTTGGATGTCGGGTGTACGAGCATCAACGTTGCTACCGCATTTGCGTTCATCCGCATTCTTATATCCACCCAAGCATGCGTCTCACTCCAGTTCTTTCTTCAATGTAGATATTCTTTCCAAACGTTACCTTATATAGGTATATTCCCATGATTGTACACTCCGGTGTATATTATCTCGTGAAACTTTTCCCATTTCACAAGCCAATGCTGTGTATTTAAAAAAAGGTAAACCTAAGCGTTCTTAAGTTACTTCTTTTATGTAGAAATAATGTTTTGCTGTGTATAAATTTGTGAGGACAAAGTTAAAGGAGATAAACTAGCACAAGAAAAAAGTTTCATTTGATAAGAGACAGTAGTAGTTGAAATATATTTGTTTATTATCTAGACTATTTAGAATAACTAATGAATTATTGTAAATATAATTTAAAAGCAGCAGTAAATTCAAGTTGATGTAGACAAGAGATTGTGCAAAGGCAGAAATTTTATTAAAAACACTGAAGGTACTGGAAGTTGAATAGCATCAAGGGGTAGAATAAGACAAGTGTTGTTTGCATTCAAACATTGGTATTAAACATAAACGTGAAGAATCAAATTGTGAGAAGATCCAATTTTTCTTACAAACATGTTTAACAGATCAGGGTATTTTTGAATTTATTTGACATTTTCTAAAAAATTAGCTACTTTATTTCCAATGATAACCTTCATTTGAAAATGTAAAACAAAATCAAGTATCTTTTTCTTCCAACCCAGAGGAAAAGTTAATATATTTCCGAAAATCACAGCTCAAACGAGTTTTAGATACAGAAAGGAACGTGTCAGGAAATAGAAATGAATCGTCAAGAAGTGCTAGATTCAATTTTGAAGGGAATCAAGCTATGCACGTATCTTGTAAGGAAATAACTGAGTGCATGACTGGCTTTAGCAGAGATATACATGAATTCTTTTATTACATATCCTCTTTTTTCTACTCTACCATATATTCAACTACGAAGACGTCACGTGGACTCGTATCTTTTTTCCAGACCATAGAGAACCCGTCGTGGTTTCTTACTACTGAGTAGAGGTATACAGACCCTTATAAAAAGCAATTTATGGTCCCTAAGTCTTCGATATTTATCACTTGCTCAGCACGATTTCTCGCCCTTCCTTTCACTTTTACACCAAAAAATTTATTGCGTTAAACTCTCTTGTACGATTAATCGAATCTCTTATCAAAATTCTTTCGCGAATACTTTAAATAATTTCTTGCTCTAATTTTATTTTATCCCATGGTTCAATGGTTGGAAGAAAACAAGCAGCAATACAAGAAGAAGAAGAAAGTGTAGTGATAAGAGTTGTGATGTTGGATTCTGAATCGTACATTTATTACAAACATTTAATATAATCGGAGGTTTGAATTTGAATTGATGTAGTTTAGTTAAAGGAAAGCAAGCGGTATTACTCAGTTGCTCGTTCATCCTAGATATATAATAGGATCGCGTGCGTATCGATCGCATAAACGCCATAAACGTAACGTGAGAGAAGGTTATATTCAAATATAAACAGGCGAGAGGTAGAGAACTCGTCTGATGCGTTACGGTCAACAACGACAACCTCATGCTGAACATGACAAAGTGTTCCCCACAATTAGGAATAGGCGTGCGTTATACATACGTACATATATTAAGTTTGCAGAATAGTGATGTACTGAACCGATTATCATATATCCTATGCTCGCTTATTGTGGATATATTTGTTCGGATTGTTGCTCGGCTTTTTGCATGTTTTTAGGCATTTTATGTAAATACATGAATGTTCGTTTATTTATGGATGAATATGTATGGGTTTAAATAATCATTTCGATCGATAATCTGTTTTGTTTGAATGTAATTTTGTTGTCCTCTCTGTAAAAAAAATTTAACTAAAGGATTTATGGTGGAATTTAAAACAAAAATTAACATAATGATTTTAATTACTGTTTAGAAGTGATTAATTAGTATTTTTAACTGATTTTACTATGTAAACTTAGCTCGGACATTTTTAATAGACTGAAAGTAATGTCAAAAATGTATTTTCGTTCATGAAAAAGTTTTAAATTGTGTAAAAATTTATTTTTGCTTTTATAATATGAGAACTTTTGATTTTGACTTTTAAATTTGTTTCTTACGATACAAAAATGTATGTTCTAGAAACAAGTTTTGTAAAATATTTCCAATATTCCAGACTGATTTCAATCAGTGCAGCTTTCTAATTAAAAATTGACGTAAATTAAATACTATTAAAACAATCTACATAGGATCGGACGTTTAATTTCAACATTTAACATAGGTTGTATTGACAGTATTCAATTTAATGTTTAATTAGAAATTAATTTATCATTACTACCGGATATTAATTATGAGTAAATCTTAGAATATTTCTCTATGATACAATGAATACGGGTTTCTACAGCTATCGTTCTCATTACTTATAGTCACAATTTGTTTTTATATTCTTTTATAGAATGAATGCAGAGGATAATGATGCAATTCATTAATCTTTTTGAGCTTAGAGAAAAATATAAAACTCTGTTTTTTCTTTATATTATAGAAGAAGTAGTTGCTGAAAAAAATAATAATCAATATCTTCATAATCTCGACGATGAAAACTTAAGTCTTTTTTTTTTTTTAATTTTTGCCAGAAAATCTCTGAAATGACTTGGAAACTAAACGGAATGAGAACAGTTCTTGCCATTGAGTTAATTTAATTTTTTTCTCTTATACATGTATTAAATTGTTTTTTAACGTTATTAAAGCATCGTTATTACATACATTTGTCATTTGACATTCACAAAAAATAATAAACAATAAATTCACCTCTTGGATTCAACTGTTACTTAATAAAAGAAGTGTTAACTGTGAAAAATATTTTCACACAAAAATTTATTAAATATCAATCGATTGATAAAATCAAGCACTTAATATTTGATTGAATATTAAAGTTAAAAAAATTAAATTGGATATTTACACTACAAAGACTCGATAAATCATTAATTGAATGAAATTCAATCTATTAAATCCAAATAATCAACAGTTGATAGGATAATGAAATCATTGATAACAGAGCATCAATTATAATTAAAACCTCTTATTTCTAGAGATGTAATAACGATGTTCGAGCACACATAAGCAATTATATTTGATAGTAATGCAGATGGAGATGAAAAAGAGAGTATTCGAGTGAAGAGGGTTGGTGAAAAGTCATGAAATTAATTCGATAATATGTATAATGAAAAATAATAGAGATTGTAGTTAGTGCTGTATTAGAATGGCATGGATATTATAACGAAGGTAATATAGAGAAAGATGGCTGAGTAGCAGACGGCAGCATGTTGCAGCTTTACATAGCAGACAAAGTCCCGTTATTTTATTTTGCCGCAAAACTGTCTCATTTGCCCAACTGCTACTCCACTAGATTCATTTGCTTTGCTCTTATTTTGTCTTTATTTCTCCTCCATGCTTTCTCTCTTCACCTATTATACCTCTCCTATCGCGTTTTCCTTCCGCTTTCATACTGCGCGACAGCTTAAGTTTCGCGCAGTTGGCATTACAAGAGATTCGTGCCGGCAGCAAATTTTATAACCGCAGTAAATACTTACTGCCCGATTTTCAGGCCGCTGACATAGTCTCTCATATGTACAAGTTTCACTGGGTTTTTTTTTTATTTTCAAATCAACTCTCTCAGGCATTTGCGTCCAGTTCACCGAGATGTTATTTCACGCCTGAATAACATTAAATGAAGCGATTTTTGTACCAATACATATGACTGAACATTGACTGAACATGTATCCCCTTGATTCAAATATTTTTCATCAAGTATAGAATTCTCATGTGATGCTTTTTGTCATTACTTTTCAAGTAAAAAAGTTTGCTAAAGTAAATGGGGTATCCGGTTTAAAAAGGATATATCGATAATTTGAGGACAAAAGGATATTTGATTTCTTCAATATTTTTAAAGATTAAATTTTTTTCTTGTAAAATTTAGCAAAAAAATGTTTTTTTTTT